GGAGATTATAGAGTTAAACCGTCGCCTTAGGATTAATCTCGGCATACCTGCTATTCGGCATTGTTATGCCTTGGCCAAGTCTTCTGGCCGACATGGGCGCTATTTCCTTAGGGCCAAGGACATCAACCATCAATTAGTGACTATGCTTTCCAGCTCTGGCAAGCGAGTTGATGATGTCATGTTCGTTGTCCGAGGTAACTAGGAATTCGGTGAAGGCGAAGACCGCCTAGATCCTATTCCTAGACGGAGAGGCGAACCAGGTGGTCATATAGCTCCTTGCGTTTATCTTTCTTATATTTACTCGGCTTTGTCTTTGTGGTCTCACAGTTTATTTGTGCAAGAAACGATTTGAAGAAAGTTTTGGTTTCAACCGACGACGCCGTTCTTGTTGAAATTAAAGTCGCACTCCAATACTTTGGCCGTCCAAGCCTTTAGAAACAAGGGAGGGCGGCCCACGTTCTTCTTCTATACGAGCCGACATATATGACGTTTTCGGCGGTAGAAAACATCCTAGTTCCGAGGGGCGAAGAGTCTCTTACGGCCCTTATCTCAACCAACTTCAAAAACTTGAGGCAAGTTGGTTTGGAAGCATCCGATTCGGAGCAGGAGCAAGTAGCCGAGGAGGTCGCTGAGGAATCAAGCCAGTCTAAAGCCGAAGTAGACGAGGCTTTGAAGTTGGCCTTTAAGGAAGCTGGCCTCAATTCATCCAACCCTCTGTCCACCTCAGGCTGAGGGGACGCTTCCTTCGAAGACATCTTTACAGATTTAGGAGACCTTCCCGGCGCGTATCCTGAGGACATGGCTGGGTTGTCACTCACGCAACTTGCCAAGAAGAAAAATGCCGAAAGAATGGCCGCCCAGCGGAGAGCCGAGGCCATCCAATTAGAAATTCCACCCACTGCCGATGTTGAGCCCTCCCTACTTGTCGAGGAAGAGACGACTCAAACTGAAAAGGCCGAGACGGAGTGAATAAAGCAGGTGGATCAGGAGGCTCAGCAAAGGGAGAAGAAATGCCCTGCCGAGAAAGAAGCCGAGTCTGTTGAAGAGCAAGTCGATAAATAGCCGTGCACTGAGCAATCGGATTTCGTTATTCCGTTCATTGTTCAACCAAGGATAAAGAACATGCCGATTTCCTTTGACGCGTCGACTTTAAGAGACCCGGCTGTGGCCTTGAGCATGGCCTCTTTGGTTTCCATGCCGGTTGACAGAACCGTATTTCGGGCCGAGCCAGATCTATTGTCGATCGCATTAGCCGCTCAGTTAGCCTTATTGGTACATGCTTTATATGCAGTCTTCCGCCTAAATACATATATTTTTATTATTATTCAACTTTATTTCCTTATTTTGCAAACGTTGGGCAGGATAGCCGAAATAGGCCGCCGTCAACATGACGCTATAGAACAGATCGCTTTCTTGAAAATCGAAGTTGAAAGTGAAAAGAGCAAGGCTGTGGAAGCCTCTCAAAGAGACGATTCTGAAGCCGCGAAAGCGGTAGAGGGACATGCGAGAGCCGACTCTGAGGCCGAGAGCGCGAGGAATTCTGACCAGCTAAGGCTGGCTGCCAAAAACAGGGCAAAAGCAAGTGAGGACGCGCTCCAGCTGGCTAAGGAAGTGATTGCCAAGCTGGAAGCCGATTTGGAAGAATCGAAGAAGGCGAAGGAAAAAGTTGACTTCGAGGTTTCCAAAGCGTTCCAGGCTAGACAAGAAGCCGCCTTGGAGAGCTATGCGGAAGAAGTGCCCAAATTCGAGAATTGAGGCTTCAAACACGGCTGGCTCAAAGCCCTTGCTGCTACGAATGTGACATTGGCCCAGCCGATTCCATTCAAGCAAGTGGACGTTGAGCCGCTGGAGTCTGACCCTGAGGATTGACTAGGGTGACCATTTAATTTTTGCTAGGCATCTTCCATGCAAGGTTGTAGCTCTTTGTTTAGTAGATTTCTATTAATTTAAGGTAGTTTTCATGTGTAAAATGGCTACTATCTGTACTCAATTTATTAATGAAAATTCTCTTTGCTTTAAAATTTCCTTTGCTCTTCGCTATTATTTGTGCTCAATTTTTGCTATTGATGAATAGTGTTGCTTTTACTACTGTGGATAAAATAACTGTTGTCTACTGTGCTTGCTAGCTATCGATCTAATAGGATGTAAGATTATGAAACCAATGAATTAAACATCCGCGAACACCTGCCGATTAGATAACAGTATCTTGGCAATTTAGCAACTTTATCTGAACAAGTGAATCGGCTCAGGGCGTCATCGTCTGGCAGATTAGATTCAAAAATCTGCCCTTGCCCCAGCCAATGTATGAACTGAACGCCGAATACTGTCAGTTCATGGAGTGGCTGTGGCATGAGTAAATCGGCGACGGGCTTAAATATTTGCCCGATTAGATTAATAAATCAGCTCTTGCCCTAGCCAATGTATGAACTGAACGCCGAATACTGTCAGTTCATGGAGTGGCTGTGGCACGAGTAGATCGGTGCCGGGCCTATATATTTGGCCAATTAGATTAATAAATCTGCCCTTTTCCCAGCCAATGTATGAACTGGAGCGCCAAATACTATCAGTTCATGGATTGACTGTGGCACGAGTAGATCGGCATCGGGCTTTTGAAGTTAAGCATTAATGAGATCGCCTCGGGGCACTGCACCCATTAAGGAATAAATGGGGTGAATGCCTCGCACGTGTAAGTCCCATTAGTGTGTTCAAGCTCAATTTAAACCAGTCTGTTGAGGAGGGCTAGATAAGTGCGAATGTCAAATAGACTATTCTTCAATAGCAGAGGAAAAAAAAGGACATTGGCTAAGCTGGATACAGAGATGAATCGAAGTGGCGAGCTTATGCGCACGAGAAGTAGGATGTCGAGGGAGCGGGAAAAGCGTCAATCCCCACGTCGTCGAAGTAGATCACCCAGAAGGAAAAAGTAGTAGCGGGGCAACTCCCCTCGATCGCGACAGAGAGGTGAATTCAATGGGACACCGTGACCGTTGAGTTTTGCAGTTTTTGTGGGGAATAAACCGATGACGGAAGTGGATTCAATTGTTTACGACCCAGGTGTGGCAGTTGAGTTCGCTCGACAGATTTTTCCACCAGAAGTCCAGCAGTCGATAATCGGTCGACAAGATTTTGAAGTGTTTCGAGAGGGCATCCATGGAGCAGCGAAAGGACTGTATACCGCCTATGAAATCGGCATGCATCTACGTGCTGCGTGGCGGGAGATTGAGCAAAAGAATGAACGAATTTGGAACTGGGAAGCTTACGCGGAGAAGGCTGAGTGTGAGCTAAAAAATGCCAAAACTGGCGAGCCGCGTGCGGCCGGCCAATCTAACCCGGTTGGGGAGGAAAGGGTGACCCAATGGCTAATAAGTCATGCGATTGCCGATCGAGATATGGTTTGCATGTTTGCAGTAGAGGCTACAAGGTCCAGGGCTTATGAACAGGGCTTCCATAACGGCCGAAAAGTCGGGATAGATAAGACCAAGGAAAAGCTCGCTGAGGAGGCTTGCCGATGTGAAAACTGTGGATTTAAACACAGGTGGATCAAGGTTCTCCAGGCCGCAGAGTCTCTCCAGGTAGCAGGCGTTGATTCGATGTCGCCACTATACCATAGTCATCATTTTCCTTTTGCGGCCTTCGAAGTCGAGAAGAGCGATGACGAGGGGGACGCCGAATAAAATTGAAACATATTGTAGTGCCCTAACATAAATTGCGGGCGAATTATATATTATCGATTAATTCAATAAAAACATATTATCATGTATGTTTGCCTGCTGTTTCAGCTTATGTTGCTCGCTGTTTTAGTTTACGTTTACTCATGTTGTTTTAGTTTATGTTTAAACATGTTAAGAATCTTTCATCGTTCAATTGAGTTGATACTTGTTGATTATTAATGAAAAGTGTACCAAATTCGGAGGCTTATTCGGTCCAAACGTGTCATTTATGGATGGGGCTCCGAATTCGGAGGCTTTTTACTTAGCCAATCGTCGCATCCATGAAGGGCGCTCCGGATCCGAAGGCTTGTTCGGCCCAAACGTGTCATTCACGGTTGGGGCTCTGAATTCGGAGGCTTTTTACTTGGCCAATCATGGCATCCACAAAGGGCACTCCAAATCCGGAGGCTTATTCGGCCCAAACGTGTCATTCACGGATGGGGCTCCGAATTCGAAGGCTTTTTACTTGGCCAATCATGGCATCCACGAAGGGCGCTTCGAATCCGGAGGCTTATTCGGCCTAAACGTGTCATTCACGGATGGGGCTTTGAATTCAGAGGCTTTTTACTTGGCTAATCGTGGCATCCACAAAGGGCGCTCCGAATCCGGAGGCTTATTCGACCCAAACGTGTCATTCATGGATGGGGCTCCGAATTCGGAGGTTTTTTACATGGCCAATCGTGATATCCACGAAGGGCGCTCCGAATCCGGAGGCTTATTCCACCCAAACGTGTTATTCACAGATGGGGCTCCAAATTTGGAGGCTTTTTACTTGGCCAATCGTGGCATCCCCGAAGGGAGCTTTGAATCTGGAGGCTTATTTGGCCCAAACATGGGCGCTCCGAATGCGGAGGCTTATTTGGCCCAAACGAGTCATTCACGGATGGGGCTCTGAATTCAGAGGCTTTTTAATTGGCCAATCGTGGCATCCACGAAGGGCGCTTCAAATTCGGGGGCTTATTCGGCGCAAACGTGTCATTCATGGATGGGGCTCTGAATTCGTAGACTTTTTACTTGGCCAATCGTGGCATCCACGAAGGGTGCTCCAAATCCAAAGGCTTATTCGGCCCAAACGTGTCATTTATGGATGGGGCTCTGAATTTAGAGGATTTTTACTTGGCCAATCGTGATATCCACGAATGGCGCTTCGAATCTGGAGGCTTATTCTACCCAAACGTGTCATTCACGGATGGGGCTCTAAATTCGGAGGCTTTTTATTTGGCCAATCGTGATATCCACAAAGGGCACTCTGAATCCGGAGGCTTATTCGGTCCAAACGTGTCATTCACGGTTGGGGCTCTGAATTTGGAGGCTTTTTATTTTGAACTACAATTCCATATAGTAAGATAAGAAGTATTGCATTATGAATGTGAAAGTTGTACACGGTGAATACACAAAACAAGTCGTGGTCCACATGCCGGGTTAATGATAAAATTTACAGAAATGTGTGGAATTCCAAGGATGTGGCAGACTCTTCCTAGACATGTCTTTGAGCTGATATGCCCCTTCACCCACTATTGAATCGATCTGATAGGGCCGTCCTAGTTAGGACCCAGTTTTCCGTCAGCTGGATTCTTGGTAGATGGAAGTACTTTCTTGAGGAGCAAATCCAAGGCCAACATCATGTCATATCGGCCCATATAAAAACTTTTGATTTCAAGGTTGGGAGGCCGATCTCTAGGGGGATGATTGCCTAGGTTCGAAACCATAAAGCAAACGGCATTTCCCTAGTGGATCTCCTCGGCGTAGTACGATGAGCCGACGACACACTCGGCAATTCTTCGACCCATCTTCCTTTAGCTTTCTCCAGCCTCTTCTTGATGCCGTCCAAGATGGATTTGTTAGAAGTTTCAGCTTAACCATTGCTTTGTGGGTAAGCCGGCATGGAGAAATAAGGTCGGATACCATACTTGCTGCACAGCTCCTGGTCGACGCCACAATCAAACTGGGTGCCGTTGTCTGAAATAAGTGCTCTTGGAATGCTGAATTGTGTTATGATATTTCTCCATACAAAGCGCTTAACATCAGTATCTCGAATGTGTGTTAATGTCTCCGCTTCGACCTATTTTGTGAAGTAATCTGTTGCGACAATAAAAAATCGCTTGTTGCCCGGGGCACGAGGTAATGGTCTGACAATGTCAAGTCCTCATTGGGCGAACGACCAAGGACTTGTGATAGAGCTCAACTCTTCAGCAGGCAAATGGGTTAAAGGGTAAAACTTCTGACAACGTTCACATTTCTTGATGTAATTCTCGGCATCAGCTCTCATGGTCGGCCAATAATACCCTTGTGTCACAGCTCGATGAGCCAAAGAGCGCCTGCCGAAATGGGCACCACAACTACCTTCATGTATTTCAGTCAGGAGTTCTTCAACCTTATCCGGATGAACGCATTCTAGATATGGACCAAAAAGGAATTTTTTGTAGAGCCTTCCTTGTGGATCCAAATAATATCGCAGGGCTTTGTTTCGTAGTTTGTGAGCTTCTTTCTTTTCTGCCGGGAGCTGTTTAGAAGATAGGAATGCAGTGATAGGGTCCTTCCAACTTGGACCTAATTCTATGACATTAATTTGAATTGACTCTGAGGGGGCAATGCTCGGCTCAGGGATAAATCCCAGTTCAATTGTTCGTTTGATTTCTGAGTTGATGGCGGAAGCTAGGCAGGCCAGGGCATCTATATGTGTGTTCTGATCCCGGGTTATTTGATTTAGTTCATGATGGTTGAATTTTGCCAGCAAAGAATTCGCCATTTTCATGTAAGCTGCCATTTGGTCATTTTTGGCTGCGTATTCCCCTTTCAATTGGTTAATGACTAGCTTTGGATCGCAGAAGACAAGCAGACACCAAGCACCAAGGAGGTGTGTATTCTGTAGACCGGTTAACAATGCTTCGTATTCAGCCTCATTGTTTGATGCATCGAAGCCCAGTTTGACAGCTTGCTCGATTATTGCTCCATCGGGAGCCATGATCACTATGCCCACCCGACTGCCGTGTTGATTGGACGATCCATCACAGTACAACTGCCAAATGTCCCCAACATAAATTC